TTTATTTTATTTTATTTTATTTTATTTTATTTTATTTTATTTATTTTTACAAATAGTTTATTGTCAAGTTGGTTTCCATATAACACCCAGTGCTCATCCCCACAAGTGCCCTCCTCCATGCCTATCTACCCCCTTCCCTCCACACCCATCAGTCCTCAGTTTGTTCTCAGTATTCAAGAGTCTTTCATGGTTTGCCTCTCTCCCTCTCCCCCACTATTTCCTCCCTCCTTCTCCCCCTTGGCCCTCCGTTAAGTTCCTCTTAATCCTATATGTGCAAACATATGGTATCTGTCCTTCTCTACCTGACTTAATTCGCTCAGCATAACACCCTCAAAGTCCATCCATGTTGCTAAACATGGCCAGATTTCATTCTTTCTCATTGCCACGTAGTATTCCATTGTATAGATAAACCACATCTTCTTGATCCATTCGTCCGTTGATGGACACTTAGGCTCTTTCCATGTTTTGGCTATTGTTGAGAGTGCTGCTATGAACATTGGGGTACATGTGCTCCCATGCATCAGCACTCTTGTATCCCTTGGGTAAATTCCTAGCAGTGCTATTGCTAGGTCATAGGGGAGTTCTATTGTTAACTTTTTGAGGAACCTCCACACTGTTTTCCAGAGGGGCTGCACCAGTTTACATTCCCACCAACGGTGTAGGAGGGTGCCTGTTTCTCCATATCTTCGCCAGCATCTAGAGTCCTCTGATTTGCTCATTTTAGCCACTCTGACCGGCGTGAGGTGGTATATCAGTGTGGTTTTGATTTGTATTTCCCTGATGAGGAGGGATGCTGAGCATCGTTTCATGTGTCTGTTGGCCATCCGGATGTCCTCTTTGGAGAAGTGTCTGTTCATATCTTCTGCCCATTTCTTCACTGGGTTGTTTGTTTTTCAGGTGTGGAGTTTGGTGAGTTCCTTATAGATTTTGGATATTAACCCTTTGTCTGATATGTCATTTGCAACTATCCTTTCCCATTCCGTTGGTTGCCTGTTAGTTTTGTGGGTTGTTTCCTTTGCTGTACAGAAGCTTTTAATCTTGATGAGGTCCCAAC